CTGGAGTCAGGTGATTGTACTCTCATGCATTCAACGATCTGAAACTGAGGTTTCCTGTATATATTTATGTCATTAGTAAACATATGAGATTCAATTTACAACATATTATCCAATTTATTCAAAATTCAATTTTCATCACATGAACCCAAATCTGCAACTTTCTCGTGCTTTTTCATCCATATAATTCCTCAATTTCTTGTCCCTCCAAGTGCCTTCATGGCATATAACAGGACAGCTTTCTTTTTTCTTTTACTGTGTGATGTATTGTTTTGTCCATCTATCTTCACCACTTCTGGGATCCTTCTCCTCCAATTCTGGCACAGTGTGTGGACATATCCACCCCCATACAATCCAGAAACATGTCTGCAGTGCACCATAGCTAGAACTCAACTCTTCATCTCATTTAAGAAGATTAACGTCATGGCTCATCTGCTACCTACAGCTGGTTCTTATTCCTTAAGAAGCAAAATACTTAAAATGGTTTGTGAGGGAAACACTCACTAAACAGACTTCAAAAATGTTAAATACTAATGAAGTGTGATGTCAGCAAAGTGAGTAGCAGGCTGTTTTATCTACTGTGACTGATATTTGTTTCAACAGGTACGACTCTCGGCGTCAGTTGCCGCACGGAAATTCCTTATGTCGCTCCCTAATGACAAAGCTCGAGAAGTGTTCTACCCAGAATTACTGCCAAGAATGTGTCTCAATAGGTACTGTATACCTCTTTTTATTTTTGTGAATTCCATATCCACATGTAAAAAATTAATGTTCCATCTTGGGTACCATACTTTTTGCATCTTACAGGTTTTCAATCCCTTGGGAGACTTATTAAATTTGATGCAAGGCTTTAACAAAAACAAGAATTAGGACTGACATTTTACTTCTCAGCATCTCAATAAAGTAAATGCTGTTATATTGTTTTCTCAAAGTGCATGAAATGAACGTGAAATAAAGAAGTCGTGTCTTCCATGTCGTCTCTGAAATTACTCACTTTAAGTGAAACCAGTGTTAAGTGACTATCGGAATTTTTCATTTAAATTCACCTTTTTATCTGCAACAGTATTTGTTTGCTTTGGTGATGTTAGTATAACAAGACAAATAAGTTGTTTTTTTTAGTTTTTATGTGTTAGGAAGAACTTACAGAGCGGCTTTACAGCAGATACTGAAAATGTCCACCACCTTCTCAAAGACAAGCATTCAGCCTTTTCATTGCATTTCCTGTGACTTTCCAAAGTGTTCCTAAGTGAGTGTTAGCAACAGGCCATTCAGTATTTTAATTCCTCCAAGTTTCGTGGGTTAGTCAGATAAACTCTTTCTTTGAGAAATTCCCTTAGAAAGAAGTATGGAGATTGTAGTGGCCAAATGTCATGCCTAACAGTACGTTCGTCAAAGAACTCTTGCAGAAAAGCAGTTGTGTTTGCAGTGTGGGCCATCCGCCTCATCATGTTCGAACCAAGAATCCCATTCATTGTGTTCGAATGGAGAAATGAATTGGGTCAGAAAGTTCTGATACCATTCCACATTGTCTTCGCAGAAAACAGTTGTCTCACATTTCACTGTCAAGGCACTGGACACAACACACCAATCTTTTATGAATGCAGAGGAATTTCCTGCACTGCTAAATGCCAAATGAACAGCGACAAAAAGTTTAATTGTGAAGTAATATTTGAGAATGAACACATGTTCTGTTTATGAATGCATCTAGCACATTAAAAACTGTTGAGTGAATTTAATTTTTGTGTGTCAGTCCAATGCACTTCACGTGAAATCCAAATCTGACTTTATTTTATTTTTAAATGGCTCATGGCCTAAAAAATTGGCGCGTAACATAAAATATGTGTCTTGGTAGGATCCAGTAATTTGTTGCAAATGATTTGCAATGTGGTTTATAATTTTTATCTCTTTTATAGTGTTTCTGTAGTTATGAAATAATAGATTTGTTTCTGCAACAAATGAGTACCAAGTCAGTGCAAAATTATGTAATTAATTTGTAACTAGTCTCTACAGGAAAAACTAATGTGTTGTAGGTATTATGTGGCAGAAGGAGTTCGCATCTACTCTCAGGAAACCTGGCGGCAGGTGACAGGAACAGCTGGGAAGCAGCTGGTCCAAAAATACATCTCACATACTGTGGACTATTACATATTGGCAACAGAGTCAGATAACCACGCTGTGCGGGAAGCAGCTTGTGCTTGTATTGCTGAACTTGCATCAAAAATTCATCCACAAACTGTTCAGCCACATGTGGAGCGACTTCTGAACACCTTACTTGTTTGTTTTCAAGATGACAGCTGGCCTGTGAGAGATGGTGAGTGAGGAAATGCTATTTCTCATTACATGACCCTAAAATCATTGCAGGTTGGTAGAGTGAGCAGGCGACACTGCTCTTACTGCGACGAGGGTTTTTCCAGGCATATACCAGATTTTTCGTGTGCGCATTTATCTGGTCACCAGGAGATTTTTATCACATTTAAAAAAATGTTGTAAGCCTGAGCCAGGGACCCTGATCACTAGATACAGTATTTACTCATGTATAACATGCATTTCCCCCCAAAAAATTATTCGTTCTTAAAAATAAGGTGTATGTACTATACAGAACATATGTATATTTAAAGAAGGGAAGAAAGTGGCCTTCTGTGTGTGTGTGCACAGTAGAATGTACTGCGTATAAGTGATTTCTAATTACAAATTTTGTGTTTCTCTGTTACTGCCAAAGAAAGCCACCAGCAATCATGCTATTGTCTGACTGATTTAAAATTTGAGTGCATCTGGGTTGCAGATTTTTAAAAATTGCAATGGGGCCCATCTGACAAATCAGAGGGCAATTTTGGATAAATATTACTATCTCATCTTAAATTGAGTTTTCTAGTGTTTCCTATAAAAATGGCTGTATGAACGATGCTGCAAGACTTAGCATGTGTATTTTGTCATTTTCACGCTGAATTCAAGTTTGTGTATCGTTCCTCGGAAAGAACATTTTGATACACATTTATTAATTCGTTTTGTGCCTCCTGACAGGTGTTTTTTTCATTTTGCTTCATGCTTAACAGCTGCATGTCTGGCTTGTGGCAACTTCATTCTGAGTTTTCCTGATGAGTCTCAGGCAGCTCTTCCGTCGTTATATCCAATGTTCTTTCGCAACTTGGAGGATCCTATTCCATCAGTGAGGCAGGGGGCTGCTTCCTCTCTGGCCAGTGTTGTGCGAGCGTATGGTCAGGAAGCACTGGCGGTGGTAATGGAGAAAGTCACTGCAGGTCTGAAGGGCGTCAGGAACCAACCAGCAGATTCCGAGAGGTACCTGGACTTGGATCACAGTCAGGCAACGTTTGGTGTTGTGAAGAGGTTACGAGATAATGATCCTGAAGTTCATTCTGATAAACAGGTACAGTAGCAGATTATATTTTACTCGAAGATCTGTGAAATCACTGTTTCTGTCTACCTCGTTACATTTCTCACTAGATATGTATTTGTTTTACTTATTGCTGAAAATTTGGTGTTTACACCGTGTTAGAACGAATGCATTAAATATGTGTTTTATTGTTTTCCGTGATTTTAATATTGGAGTATATGCACGTAAACTTATGTGCTTTTGTATCCTTCCACGTTCAGGAGGCAGCAAACATGCAAACATAATGTTGTTCTATAGAAACATAATGTAGTTAATAGTTATTTCCTTTATGTATAATAACACCACATTAAGATACAAAAAATGAGCATTGGCAAGGGGGTGTATTAATGAAAATATCAAATATTTTTCATTCGTCAGCCTTGAATTCTCACTCGTCACACATGAGCAAACGAGGTGGTTTGTTGAACTCATTTCATATTTTATTTAATATTTTATTGAGCTCTTGATAACAGCTGATCATAATAATTGTTTTCATAGTAATCTGGCCTCATACTTCTCATTGAAATTTAGAAATGATTTTTTAACAATTTCAGATGTATTCTTGTGGATCTTTGGCACCAAGGATGGGTCGAGGTGGTTGCTCTGACCCAAAGTTCAGAAGACCTTCACAGCCTTGGGAAATGGCAGATGGGTAAATAAACATGGACTTTCATAATTTTTTTATTCATTGTCTTGGTCCTAAATAAATACTTTGTCGTTGCTTGGTCACTGCTTCAGTGTATAGCTTTGACACTTCTTCTTCTTTTACGCCAGTGTCTCTCGCCGTTCGAAGCCCAGAAGCACATTCACCCTTTCTTATCGAGTTGCAGACTGCCAGGTTATAAGTTGGAACACTGTTGAAACTTTGTGTAAATGTATTAAAAGTCCTCCAAACCTGCTATTACAAACAGGTCTATTTATATAATAGACTTTATCATTAATTGTTTGTACAGATATGTTGATCGTTACTTATATTAATTATTTATTTAAAATTAAATATTTAATTTATGCAGTAACTGTTTTTCACAGGGTGATAGATTGTCGTGAATAATACAGATGAACATAGACTTCTGAAGTCAGTAACACCAATGCTGAAAAGAAACAAAACCAAGTGCAGTAATAAATAAGATGGTGTAACTGAGTATAAATGTGCCAACTGTACTAGACACTAGTCTGATAAAATTGGAAGTATGCCTCCAACGTGAAGAGCTACCCACCTCACATCAGACTAAAATGTTCGTCAAACCTAAGCATCTCAAAGAAGGTGCCTTTACTTTATCAACAACTACAATCATTGTCTTTCAGAGCAATTCTTCGGATTTCAGATGCGTGTACCTGCTTTCTGAGCTGTCACAGATCCCTGACCTGTGCCGCTCGGTGTCTACTTCGCTACCTCTAGTGGGAGAGGCTTGTCACTACCATCACTATACCCATCATATTATGTTCCTTGAAACAGTTTGCAAACAGTTACCTCTCATAGCAAAGGGAGTCGGCAAGAAGGTCTTCAAGTCCATCGTTGAAGAGTTCTTAGACCCAGTTTTCTATGCCTTGGTGAGTAAAACTGACATGCAGAGGATTTAAAGCATAAAATGTGAACACCATGTGATACTGTTTGCAGATATCATGTTTTCTGTTACAGACTTTTAGCGTAGAGATTAACTCGGTCTTCAGTGCGTTAAATCAGATCATGCTAACCGATGCACAGCCAAGAAATTAACACAGTTTGTTTTAAAGTTAAAGCTACAGTGTAAGACTGTAATGTTGAGACTTGCGGGGTGAGGAAGTGGGTTATGAAGGAGGAAAGATAGCGTCTGCGTTTAACGCTTCGGACTTCCTGCATTCCTTGCAAGTCTTAAGATTACAGTCGCATACTAAAGTAATTTTTTACCACATTTGTACTTGTATTCATACATGTGTTTTAAGCATGCTTATCAGCTGCATAGTCCTGCGCCGTAGCCGCGCGGTCTGAGGCATCATGCTTTGGACCGGTGATACGGAATGCGCACTGGTTCGAGTCTCGGGGGAGATGAAATTTTCTCATGAGATTTTGACCGGTGTATGGGACCTGTGCCAACCCAGCATCGTGAGGAAATTGGGGAGCTACAATGATTAGCGTAATCCGGTCAGGAAAGCTAGCAATGGCCGGGGGTTTGTCGTGCTGACCACACGTCATCCTATATCTGGTTGGATGATCGTTCACCTCTGCTTAGGCATGTGAACGTGAGGCCAGCAGTCAAGCTAGTCGGCTTTGGCTCTCTGGAGCTGTTACGCCACGGATTTAATTTTTTTATCAGCTGCATAGGTTATGTAGCATTGATTAAGAGTATAAAATATGCATACAAACAAAACTGTTTACGCTATGAAGGACGCTAATGCCAAACGCATTTTGACCTCAAGAGGTCGTCATCATCAGTGGCAAAAAACAAGTTAAATCATATAATATAAATCAAAAGATAATGTAAAAAAAATCACTTAAATGAGTGGAGTGTATCACTGCATTCTGAAAACATTGTCCTCAGCCACATGAGCACTAATCTAGTGATTATGTCCCACAAACCAATATTGTCCTGATGAATAATATCAGAAACTGGTGCACTCTGTGTCATTTTAACAGCCATCACTTGCAGATATTGTGTGACTGCTTTAAGAAACCATTCACTGTTATCTTTCTAGATCACAGTGACTTTGTCAACAGATATCAGAGCTGAATAATCTGATTTATGAATGAGCTGAAGACAAATACAGGAGGATCACTATTGGGCTGCGCACGTCAGTGTTCAGTGTGGAATATTGAATTGAACTACAGAAGTAGGACATTTGTTTTCCCCATACAGGTAGCACTCAGCACGTACTCTTTCCGTATTAATTCCAAATTGGTTTGAGAGTGCCTTCAACCCCTCATGAGACTGAAAGAACATGACAGGGCACACCTAACATCAGTGTCAAGTTGTTAGTGCCCTTGCATCATTTTCAAGAGGTTCTTGGTTGAGATTTTGGCCCTGAGACAGGCTGTCATGACTCAGATTTTCATAGCTTTCCTGTCTCTCCAGCCAAATGTTTGGAAATGCCTTAAATAACGCCATTACCCATGACCACTTCTACATCATCTCCAATTTATTCATTATTTACTTACCATTCTGCTGTTGAGTAGAATTTAATCTGAGATACTGATGGCATCATTGTATGATATACAATGTAGTATAACATCTTTCACTTATTGCTGCTTTAAATATTCAGGGAAATTAATTTGATTTTCTTGAATGTTTATTTTTCCTCTCATCTTTGATGAAGTAATGAAGTAACAGTGCTTTGCGTATCTGAGGTATTTCTGGCCATAACCATGGTTTGGAGGTCCCTCAGCCGTCTTTGTCATCAAGACAGCCCACTTAAGTGCAGATTTTCCGTGTGCCTTTTTCTTTTCTCACATCTGAGAAATTTTGGGCTGAATTTATTTGCAGTCCGCACTTACAGGTCACCTCTGCGAGCCGTCATCAGCATCCTGGGGCTATAGTGACTGCTGTAGGTGCAGCAGGTGGAACGGCATGTGAGGTGGCATAATTCTGATTTTGATTTTCTGCCTTTTCTAGGAGTGTGAGAATACCCTGACTTCAAGTGCAGCTAGTCAATGCCTGAATCAGATTGGAAATCTACTTGGACCAAATATACTGAGAGCAAAAGTTGAAAGGCATAATCCAAAGTATGTATAGTTTGTTTGTTGTGTGCTCTATGGTCTGGTTTCTAGAACAAATATGGTTTATAACCACCTCTGTGCTGAACCCTTTAAAACCTGATGGTAAATGTATGTACCACCTGCTTTACCAATCATTTATTCTGTATTTATTGGTTTCATATGTGTTATCTTTTGAGATACAAACTGAATGTTTAAATATTATTAAGACGTGATTCATCTTCAAATGCTTAATGCTGAAACATTGCACATGTTGATGTTCATATTCTGGGTAGACTTGCATGTATATACCAACATTTAAAAAAAACAGGGCTGAGTTCAAATGTTGCGATCTACTTACAATCCACACAGTGTTACTACCCAGAGGACCAACATAATTATCTTCACCACTATGAGAACCTCCCTTGTAATCCTGGGGTCTCGGGTTCGATTCTCGGCGGTGCCCGAATTTATAACTTGTGTTGGGCAAGGCCGTGGTCTAGGCAACACGGAGTTTTCCTCCGTGGCATCCCAACAATTACTCCATTCACACACAGAAGAAGGCAATGGCAAACCACTTCTGGATCATCTGCCAAGAACGTATATGAACAGGTCCCAGTCCGAGAAAAGGATGGAAGGATCCTGTTCATATGGACCTGTCGTCAGACAGAACACTAAATAATATAATAATAATGAGAACCTCAGCTCTCATAATTTTGTATTGCTGATAATGAACCACTCTGTTGTACAAAGTTTTCTGCCATTTTAATCCAGTTAAAATCCTTGTGACTCGTGTCTTTGAAGCACTTCGTTGCACACATTTCTGTGTGGTTTTAATCCACCTCACATCCTTATGACTTGTGCGTTGGGGTTCAGTTTTAATATTTAATATATTTTATTATGTAAAGTATGAAATGCTTTTCTGTTTGCAGGTATTTACACCACCTGGATGCAAATGTCTTCATTGCACCTTTCTAAGCTGATCACGTCTCCTTTACTTGTTCTTGTGATTCATAAATGTGGAAAACAAGTCTATCTTGTGCGATACAGACAGCTTGTGGACCGAGTTCCAGCTCTTGATGTTAGGCAGCTGCTCATTTATAGTTGTCTGTGCACCATATTATAGTTTTGCGTTCATGATATTGTTTCGGTAAATTGAAGTGAAATATGAGAATTTTATATCACAGGTTGTTGCAGCCATTATTATATAACGTAGAAACCTGTACTTCAATGTTACCATCAAGACTATAAGAAAACTGGCATACATTTAGTAACCATATTGTTCTTTTTCAGATAATTTAAATGTATTATTATTCAGATTTTGGCACGAGGTTGAAAGTTACAAAAATGAACATTGTATCGTAATCCTCTTTCTTTAATGTGTGTGGTCACCTTCACCCATGCACCTCCTATCCTTTTAGACTATTATCCATTTTTATGCTTATTATCTGGAACATCTAAGTTACGGTTCCCTGCATCCATCTGTTGGGTAGTTAAAGTAATAAGTATTACCATAAAGACTTGAAGAAATGGCATTTCCACTGCATATGATGCCAGAGAGAGATTGTCTCCATTGGTCTGGATGGGATGGACCACAAGGAAGTGAGGATCACACTTATATATTTTTAATAAAGTTATTAATTGTGATTAAACTAAATTTAACGTTGAGAGTACATGCAGTATTGTTTGTAATTTTGCTTGTTATGTTCTCAACCATCTTAGATATGTGTAACACCTTTCGCTGTCAAATTGTAACTCTCCCTTCCTGAAGAGCTGTGATTTACTTTCTATATAAATGTCAGTGTTGTTTATCTTTGTTAGTGGTCACATACCATAAGAAATTAAAAAGTATTTATGTATAATTATACATATTGTCAAAAACATTATCTGCAAATTCCTGCACATGATGATACAAATGAAGTGTTGCTGAAATCACTATGGAAGGAGTTTCAACGCACAAGAAATTTGTGATTTTATGGCTTCTGAAACAATGGAGGGGTAAGAATTATAATTTTGAAAAGGCTTAAGAAAGTACGTCATGTAGCATTCAGTAGCCACATTTTATACAAGAGCTTGAGGCTACCAGTTTATAGAAATGTACTAAGGCTATTATTTTAAGACAGAATTCATGCAGTATGACTCTTACTACTATTGTGACTCATGTAGTGTATAAATAATGGAAAAGAAAATGTTGTGTAGGCATGTGAGTGTGGATACATATGTACAAAAACACATTGAGTAAGGTAAAGAGGTTCCCCTTCACTAATATGCTTCCATATCCCATGCATTTTTCTTCCTGTCATTATAATCTTAACAATAATCTCAAAATATTTTAATTTCTAGCCACACATGAAATGTTGTCAACAAACCCACTCAGGGATGTCAGTGAAAAGAATATATGCAGTCCATTATTTTTCCATATGGTTGTTATGTTATGCTGACTTGGTTAGACACTTAAGATAAACATATTGCACAACAAGAATACTCCCAAGCTACATGTGACCTTGTTACTGGGAGTAGGGATTAGGAATCTCTTTGTAGTTCACATATTTTACATTTCCAAAGGTTCTCCTAATTTTGAGGATAGGTTCTAAGAACACAGATAACTAAAAACTCTCTATACAAGTGGTCTGGACACATATCTGTTTTAAAATGCGGACCTGTGAAGATTTAGAACCAGAGGTAATTCATAAATAAATACAGCAAGTAGTAATTTGTTTTTCAAAGAATAAATTGAGTTCATCAAAGTATTTGTTCAAAATTATTTTCTTAATGATTAATACCTGGAATATTCCAGATGCTTTTGAATGCATTTTCATTGCCTTCCCCTCCCTCATCAGGTATTTTCATTTGGTGTTGTACACAGTATATTTTTACTTTGCCCCAGAGGAAGAAGCCAGTTTGCATTGAGATCAGGTGAATGGGTGACCAATGACTGCTGTAGCTTCTTAAACAGTGTCCAGGGGACATCTTAGTAACATCAACATGCTATGCAGCTCATATGTGCAGGATGACTATCATCTGCGTTCCACATGGTGTAGTAATGATTGATACATCTAGCAAACTGAATGTCGTGGTCGAGAGGTTAGTACTCCTGCCTTGTATTTGGGAGGTCCCAGGTTCAAATTTCAGCCTAGACACCAGATATCCTGACTGAGACTTTTTGTTTCTTGATATTAAATCTCTCCACATCAAACTTTTCGATTCTCATATGTGTACTGATAGCTTTTCCTTAACTTCTGGAAACACAAGATGGTATTCAGTATCGCAGATCAGACATCAAGTAACTGATCATAATTTTATATCAAGAAATGATCTCTCTCATTATGATTTTGCATCAGAATTCCAAGAGCATTTTTGAATTTTGCAATTTGGAAATATACTCAGAAAAATAACATCATACCAACAGCCTCAGTATTAGTCAATTTTAAAGGGTACTGACAATGGTGTGTTACAATCGAGATCACTATATTCTTGGACTATGTCCATTGTCTGTGTTTTTTATTAAAGAAAACACCGTTTTGGAAGCTGGATGTGCATCTGTCCTCGGGTTAAAATGCGGGAGGCTGGACCAGTGATTGATTTGGCTCTTTCTATCGGACCCAACTGAGTAGGTGCCCCTCGCCCCATTTTTAACCTGGAAGAGTATCAAATCAGCCTGAATTGTACCCAAAGAACTTCAAGAAGGCAGATGAATATAAGTTGACACCCCAGTTTCTGATGGAAAACTAATTTAAAAATTCTTTGTACAAAGAAAATAGTCAAATATAAAAAAATATTTTTAAGTTTCTTGACATATACAGGTCATCAGTCTTTCAAATTCTTTAACTTTGACAGGAGTAAAACAAATTTTTTAAACTGAATAATATGTTTTATTTTTCTGTTACATATAAACTCCATCCAGAGCTGTCTGTTGTGTTCTTATCAATATATATGTATATCCTAACATTCAGATCTGCCAACTTTAAAACAATACCATATTTCAATACATAGATCACCACCAATCAACATGATTTTTAACTGGCATGCATAAGATATTTCTATGTGCTATAAACCTTTTCTTTGATAATAGTACACAGGGAATTAGTGTGTTGCAAAACTGCTTCTTCTACGAGTCTTCATCTTCTGCCAGATGGCATTTCTTTTAACTTATGGAATAGTAATCATACTAAACCATTTCTAAATTAATATGTACTCCCTATACTGAAAGAATGCAACTAAATTTTGCAGTATTGTTGAACCGAACAGTTACAAAATTTATCACATATGTTTAAAGTAAGGTAAGATGGTATAATCACATGCATTTTGCAGTACTTTCAATTTTAAAATTTTAAGTTTACATACTGAATAACGGGAAAAAAAGAACATTGCTGCTTTCATTATATGCAGGAAACCATGAGTAACAGCAGGACATTTAAAAATATGGCAGAGAAGGCTCTCTCATATTGCCTTTTACGCTTTGGCTATGCCACCTGTGTTTGACATCACTGACTTTGAATGAAGCAACACAGTGGAATTCCAGCACTCAAATATACTGGGATACCCTGGATTAATTGCGGCCCAGATTAAAGTGTATGATATTTAATATGAACTACAGATTTCCTTACCACTGTAAAAAACTGAAACATTTTGACTCTCTCATTCAGTGTTCTTACAGGGTCTATGAGACAAATACTCTTGACAATTTTAATTTATGAAAGTGGTGTGGAAATATATTGTTTCAAAATTATGTTAATGTCTGCTGTAAAACACAGATGCACTTTACTTAGCTAGAAAGCAATGTATGGAGATGGCTTAATTCTAGGATGTAGTCTGGTATATATTGACTCATCACCCAGATGACTGAGACAGCAAGCTCCTCTGAAATGTCGGTCAGGATCTACCAAACTAAATAGTGTTGACCTGCAATTACACCTTTCAGGTTTTCTGTATTTATATTTGTACATTTTCAGTCATTTCAATAATAATGAATTTTCTGTCAGGTTTTGTGACATTTAGAAATGGACTATAATTAAATTTGTTATTAGGAACAGCCATTACAGTCCATAAAGTGATTAGCTAAGAGCAGGACAGTTCAGTCCATGGAGTGACTGACAAAGAGCAGGACAGTGACAATCCAAATCCCAGTCACCTCCATCTCATGCCAAGGTCTCGACTGATTGGAGCTTTACAGCTTCACCACAAATGCTAATGCCTTCATGGAATGATGCTGCAGTATCAGGGTAACTATTGTTCCTTGGAATATGGAACATTTAATAAAATGTCAATAAAAAAAACATATTGTTAGGCCAAATCAGTCACCTGGAGGTATGAGTGGCTTTAAAAATGTACCAATTAAATAGTTACTGAAATGAAAAACTGGCACATTATAATCAGCATCTTAAATTATTTCATATTTTGCACTCTACAGAAGTATGGTAAGTGGCACTTTACATCAAGAATTTGTTTAACATTCTGCAATTATAGATTACAGACATTACTTCTTAATTTATAATCATATAGCCATCACACAAACTAACCCTACCACGTCAGTCATACTTCAATAATTAAATGTTTATACTATATCATCTCACTGATTTGTTCCCTTTTATTTCCATTATCGTAAAAATAAAAAGTAGAATAATTTCTGTGGCTCAATTCAAGTATCCAGTAACTGACAAAATTGAATAAAATGAGATATTCTATTTAAAACACTTGTGCTGGATTCATCTTTCATCAAGCAAATTAGCACTCCTAACCTAACCTTCTGTAAGAAACCAGTTCTACTTTTTCAAATATTATACTACACAATGAATGTTCTTGACAGACTTAGTTTCTGTATGTAAAACAAACCCACCTTCCAGTAGTGTCTGATTAAGTTGAAGGAAACATACATTATATATTCTGTTTCAACAAAGCTGGGAATATTAGACCTTACCCACACCTGATACAAACATGAATATGGTACTGAAATTTCAGGTTCTCACAGCAACAAGTATAAAGATGGCTGTCATTGTTGTACTGTGTAGTCTGGTAGATGTTTACCAACATTTCAGAGTACTTGCTGTCTCCATCATCAGGGCAACACCGCTGAACTGTCAGTAAATTTCAACCAGCCTACACAGTGCAACAACCCAGAAGACAGCCATCTTCATGAATGTGACAAATTACTGAAGACAACTTGACAAATAATTTAAGAATTCAAGACAGCAGTGGAAATTATGTTACAGTGTGGTCAGAAGATGAAGCTGGCCATGGATCTCGAGGTAATTTCTTGCCTATCCAGACAGTACTAAACCTGAAAAGAAAGACATATCATTGGTGGTCTTCTAGGTAGTAACAATTTATGAATTTGTAGGTCCTTACAAGTCCACATGGTGTTATTATATAGGAGAACAACATCTTCATCACTATGGAAACCTAAAATCTGATGTATGGAGGATTAAGTAGCATAATCATGGTCTAATTCTTCAATGAAAATAAAGTCATGCTGTCTTATTGTACTACGTGGTAAATAAAAAGAACATGTTTTCCGAAGTTAAGTTTCCTGTTTCTGATCACTCTTTCTGGGATTATAACAAAGACTGGTGTCATTGAAGAGGACAGTATGTGTACAATCAAGATGGGTGATATAAGTTGGTGGGAACTGTCAGTAAAAGAAAGAATTCACAGCCATCATGACGAAAGACAAGGAATTTATTTCAGTATCAGAAACGTGTGTTCCACATGTAAGAGTGAAAGGGAGAAATTTCAGTTACCAAAGGCTGCAAGGCTCAGAACAGCCCAAGATATCCCTGACAGCTACTATGTTGTATGTACAGTCCTATAAAAGAATGGAATGAAGCATCACAGACTGTGAGGAAGGATAGCAGGTAGCAGTAATTCGAATCCCCTCCCTGCTGTAAATGAAAGGTAAAGAATCTCGTCAGCAAAACTGCATGACTGGAGACCTCTTATGAAGTATCGCTGTGACTTCTATAATCTGACTGAGTCAGAGACTAAAGGAATGCAGTAAATCAGATGCAGAATAACCAGTTTTAAGTCATGCTGGTGTATTTAGTGCCATAATTCTCACCTAATAGGCCATGCATATATAAAAGAAATCTTGTTTTAAAATTTACAAATATCAAGATTATATACTTTTGGTAAATATTTTTGTAATCTTCTTGTATGATCAGTATCTGCTCTAATTCAGTAAAATTCTCTCCTTTCGTTCCACATGAATTGTTATTTTCATTCTTGGTTTATTTAATTGTTTTGATTACACAGCGCTGACACATGCATTACTACAGCACAAGTCAGGCACACAGTGCAGAAACCACATAACTACAACATCTTGATTCAGTTCTAAGGATTTTGCCAAATAGCAGTCAAACTGAATTCTGAAAGTTTGTGATGATAGTGCGTTGTTCAAGCAAACTATTTTCTGGTCACTATCCATCGTCCAAGACTAAATAAAGCCAATAAAACACGACATTTTGGAGTCTATCTCCATCTTCAGGTAAAACCTACTCTGTTGGGCCCAATCAATACAGCTAGTCCCTAGCAGGGCTGCTGCACAGCTGCACCTTATCCAAACACCGCCTCTACAAGGTTTCAGAAAAATGGAGATGATACAAGAACAGCGACTGGTAGCCAAGTAACTCTGCTGGGGCAACGTGAAACTGAACTATCTCAGAATGAAATTTTCTGGAGAAATATTAAAGTATGTCCAAATAAGAGTAGCAACATTTCGCATCTGTTTAACTATATAAAAATATTACGTGAGAAAGAAAGGCACAAAGTGGAAAGGATACATGAGCCCTAAATGTACAATAAGTACACTCAACTCAAATCCAGAACACCACATTTTTATTGTTTGTAACCACCATAACAACAATCTATGGTTGTGTGTACATTGACAAGTTCTGAATAACATTTTTCTGTCAAGCAAAATGCTACGATCTTCTACAATGAAAAGCCTCTATATCTGAAGCACTGTATGCCAGTCATGTGCAGTATACATAACACAGTTTCATGTAAACTTACTTGTTTTGTTGCAGAGAGGAGCTATTTAAATGGGTGTGGAACTCAAGGAAAATGTTCAAATGAAGTAACATGACTAATGATGCTACTTGGACAAATTTTCTTTTTTTTCTAATGCTGTTATTATTACACAGCTTTTATAAGTACTTCTAATATGGGTAACAAAAACACCGATATACTATTATCGTTGATATTTTTCTCTGCAGTTGCAAACTGAGGTGAGAATTGAATATAAAAGAAAGGAGGAGAGGCAATAAATATTCAAAAGGGGTGAAGAAAGGAGTAACAGGTGATAATATGAAATTATGATCTGGTAAATTTCAAGGGGCACTTTCCAACAGTTATAAATATTCTTAAGACGTGCATTAGTAAAATGTATGAACTGGGGAGCGCAGCACTTTGCAGTAACTGCTATTAAAATAAGAATGGACTGCAATATGTAACTGAGGAATTGAAGTTTGAAGGTTCCTAACAATGGTGAGACACAATGGATAATTTTCTTTATCCTTAACTTTATCCATTATCTTAGGTGTTTTACACAGTGTTTCAAAAGTTGGTTCTGTTTACATCTGAAGGTGACAAGGAGACAAAAGCCTAAACTGTTGCTCAAATTGAGAGACTAGTTTGACCAAGGGCCCCAAGAAATTAGGCTTTTGTCCTCCTGTCAGCTGAATATGGAAGTCAAACCAACTTCTGAAAAGTTGGGTTTCTGTGAAACACCAACGACAATGGATAAAGTTAAAAAAACAATTCTGTAAAATATCTGTGGAATCTTTAGAATATGCTGACCATGTTCATGTACCACCCTACTTCTTGCAAAATTCGTCTTATTCAACCTTATTAGATCCCACAAAAAAATAATTAAATCAAATTAAATTAACCTAACTGAACCAAAACAAAACTGAAGTTGTTCGAGAAGCATAAAATTATGTTAAAAATATGTTTCAATTCTGCTGCAGCAGCTGACAGCACAGATATGAAGTGAACTTGTACCTTATGGGTTCATTTCATGATGGAAGCAAAAATGTTAGCTTATGGTAATGCCATCAGTTAAGGTCTCAATGACTTTCATAGCCTCTGCCGACCTAGCATGATGAATGAATGTGGGCTTCCCATTGCATGAGTTACACTGTGTTTCACACAACCAGCTTTTCTTTCTTCCATAAATTTACATATTTAGATTTACCTGAATTAGTTCTGCAACTGGAATAGTATCTATGAATGAAGAAACATCTATTTCCCTGGACTATAAAATACTTTTAAATAACAACATGGCACATAAATTCCGCAGTGCAAAAGTGACGGCCTGAGAGGGTTACTGAAAAGCTTATGAAGATAAATTGTATACCTCAACATGTCAGGAGCAACAAAGTTACAATGAAATATTTTTAATGATACGAAAAATAAATGCACATATTAAAAATCAACACATCAAACACAAACATCTGAAATAACAAAACATTTTCTTTTCACTGTAGAATATAAACTGACACTCAGCCCTTATTTTCTTATTTAATGGTATGTTTAATACCATATGTCCAAAATATCTGATGATGACTATTCCATACACCTATCACTCTTTTAAAGGTATGGCTAGTGTCATAATTTAACCTGAACGAATGGAAGTTTCATGACATGTTACCTTAACTTTGTTTTCAAATTCACTTCATACAACAGAACTTCACTTCTGAAGTGCAATGTGAATCAGAAATGCAGACATAGGTCCCAACACCCTATATAAATTAAATCAGTCATCACCCATATGCTCATCAATACCATCACTCTCTGTGACAAGAGCTCGTTCCAGAATCACTCGTCCTTCCTTATATCGTTGGTTCTCTTCTGTTGCAAACTCATAAATCCAACCAAGTTTTGCATCACAATTTTTACATGACACATCACGAACCATATGTCTTCCAGTCAGCATTACTCGATCTTGAACTTCACTGGAAAAAAAATATATACATGGTTCATTCTGAAATGTTGTATTAACATATTTTTGACAATGCATGGTAATTACAGCTGTTTTACAAAATAAAGTATCTAACCTGTAATTTAAGTTCACCACTCTGTTGAACAGAAATGCTCGACCTGTTGCTCCCGTAAACCTTGTGCTAATTAACTCACTCCTGTTTGTCAAAATTGTGTCACATGATGCACATGAAAATAGGCGAGAACCACCTATATGGTCCAAAAATATACGACCCATCTTTTGTCAAGCTGAACTGAAAAACAAGAGTTTATACATTTACAGAAGTTACATTATTTTATTTTGTTTACTACATCATTACTGTATTATACGTACAACTGTAGAACATGTATCAACCTTACTTGCTCAAATAATTAAAAACTTAACAGAAATTTCCCAATCCTGCTTCCTTTTCTTCAGAGTCATACAATTTTGTCACCACACAACGAAACCAACCTGGCAAATCACAACACAGCTGACTATATAAATGACGTATGTGTGACGTAACACAAATTTGTAAACAAATATCAATTGACATTTAACATTAATAGAATTAATCTTTACTAACCATTTAAACTCACAAAGAGATTGACTCAACACATTTAAAATGTTATTTCTGTGAAATAAAAACATCGTATTTATTAAATTACAGAATGTTATGCACCACTATTTTCGAACTGAATTGAGTTCGGTCGATTCACACTGAACATTACGTTTCAGTTTCGATTCTGATCGTCTTCCGCATGTAAGTACGTGGACGAATCGACGGACTGTCATGTTATAAGCTGTTTCGAACGTATCACTTTAGGTTAGGAAAGATTCATAATATATTCTCCTGTATGAAATATGGAGTTATAGTTTTACATTTAGATGAACAAGAGCAGTTTTAACGTGAACTTATCAGTACTAGAAGGATGATATGGGTGCTCAATTGCTTGAGGAACTGAAAAACGTAAGGAGATTTTATGTAAGTATTTGACAGACGACAAATTGAAATTTTATCAGTATTACGGAATAATCTGGTCAAGACAGCCCAAGCGGATTCATATGATTGAGGTAATTATGTACAAACAATCCCAAAGCAACATATTTAAAAAGGATTTGTTCTTGCAATGGGGACTACGAAGATGGCTGTCTTCTGGGTTGAACGCCGTGTAGTCTGGTAGAAGTTTATCGACTTTACAGAAGTCATTGCTGCCTCCATCATCAGGGCGACTACACGGCGCTACAACCTAGGAGATAGGTCCAGTTCTGTCGATGAAAAATGTTCATAAAAACTAGCCATGGAAGTAGAGGAATTTGCATGGTGATGAAGAAGGAATGGATGTTGGTATGATGTGCTTGGAGGTGTACGAACTGTAGATCTTTCTAACAATTTCTCCAAGGCGAGTGAAAATGTTTTTGATTTGCAAATATATTGATAATATGGCAAAATTATTTGGTAATTCCAACCATGTTTTAAAAAAATAGTGGGATCAGGTGATTTACCTTGTTGTTGAAGGTGGCTGTCTTCTGGGTTGGACACGTCAAATGGCATCGTGAGCGTAAAATATTGTCCTCGACAAACCATGACAGGACGTATAATGTACACAGCGCCATTTACACAGCCAGCAGCAATTTTTGACGTGTAAAAGATTGTCGAAATGGAGACTTTTTGTGTAGTGTGAATCGACCCTAAAACAGCAATTATCAATGACAGGTCTACCAATGTTGAGAGATCTTGCTTAAAGTTGACTTCTGGTAAATTTCATTGGCTTTTGCTAAGTAATTGGCATTGGTGTGTAATTCGTATTCTCTAAATGTAAGTACGTAAGAGTACAGCGTGGTTTTCGGTGAAGAATTCCTGCGAGGTTCGATAATGATGTAATGTTTTGAAAAGGTGTCGGTTGGTTAAGTGTTCACGGTAATATTATCGTCTCTTGCTGGCTTATGTTTGTTATTTAGCAATGCTGTATTAAGTTATGTCAGATGAGGTTTGAAGATGTATGCTGAAATAGGAAGAGCAGAGTTGAATTGAATGTTTACATTGCATAGAACTATATATTGCAACTCCAGGATGTGAGAAACAGTAGGAAGACCAGCACTTAATTCATATAAAATGCCGATAGAAATGTAGCTGTATAGCTGCTGCAGTTATTTTCAGATTTACAATATTTAAGAATTCTCATTTGATGTAAATTCTGCAGAGAGAAAAAATTATCTTTCAATGTTGATTTAAAAACGTTTATATTGTGACATAAACTTTTAATGCCAGATGGAAGAGTACTGAATAACCTGATCGCTGCATAGCATGTTTCTGATAACTAGTGATGTTAGCATTCAGCAGTTTGAGATCATGTTTGTGCCTTGTGTTTATACAATGTTTGCCAGAATTTGTTCATAAATTCTCCATTGAACACAGTGAATGGCTTGTTAAACACATTTCTACAAGAGACTTTCTGAATACGTGTCATTATTCTAATGATTTTATTTTGAATGCTGTTGAATTTCACCAGAACAAAACTCCATGTGAGGTGATGGAATGGAAATAAGGAAAATAAACTAATTTTGAAATATCTGTTTTGAGGAGTTATGTAACTGTTCTCATGGCAGTCATACTGAAGTTGGGAATAATATATTTTATTATTTGCTGATCTTGTTCTCCTGATTAAAATGTTTACAATTTTTATGCAACTTGGGGGTTCGTATCCTTATTTACAAGAACTAATAGCCATTTATTCTAGTCCACATTTTTACATCCTATTTTTTAAAATCCATTTTATGTTTCACTACTGGGTTAGACAGCACATTGTGCATCCTCTGCTCTTTCTGTGGTCACATATGTTTATCAAAATGTCTTTTAATTTTCCTATTTATTTCTGGGTATTTTCTTGCAGATCCATGTTATTTTTATGTTGTTACACTGCATACCAAATACTTAATGAATTTACCGGTTTTGTTATCTCTCTATTTATGATAATTTTAACGCTCCTCTTACATCTCACTTCCAGTATTATAGCTTTTCTTTTGTTATTTGACATTCTTGTGTCATATGCTTGGAATGTAAGATACAATTCTATGTTGTTTTGTATTGCAGGTCTTAATTTTCTGCCAGTACTATGTGGTTGTGAGTGAATAAAATTGAGTTGTTTTCCCAAAAACATTCTTTTCAGCGTATTCCAGTCTTCTAACACTGTGTTTTTCCACAAATCAAATAACAATTTGGACTGCTTATATCCTTGTCACAGACCTTGAGCAACTACTAAAGGAGTTCCATAAACAACCTTGCTTTCCTTTTTAATAATAATAGTACTAATGTTCTCTTCTTCCCATTACCCATTTTATGGTAAAGACTGCATCCATGCACAATTATCTTTGCAGAAGACACACTGTTATTCTTTTAAAATGTGTCTTACTGTTGGCTATAATTTGCTTTTAATATTACCGTATTGATTTTGTATGCTGATTTCACTAGGAATGAGTGGCCAGCGTTACGCCCTGGTCACACTTTATCTCCAGGAAAGAACCTCGGTACTCATTGGACACGGCTGGGTGGGCCCCAGAGCCAGTCTGAACTGAGTAACATGGCAGTGTTTTTATTTCTGAAGGACTGTTCATTACAAGCAATTTAAATAGTGGCAATGTCATACTGTAGTTCTGACAGACACTGTAGTCAGATGAACATTTTAGTTTTTGTATTGATATTCATTCTTAGTCGCTCTGAATACGGATATGGTTGGTAGTAGCTTTGAATCTTGGTCACCCATTCCTACTTCTTTGCTTTACAGTAAATATTATGCTTTATCATAGTTTTAGAGCTCAAATAACATGGAAGCATGATTTAATTTACTTGTATGTTTACTTTTCCATCTATCTGTTACCATTTTCATTAGTACAGTGGTAATGTGCTTTGTAATCTCATCAAATGATACGTTGCCTTGAAATTGAAATAAATTAATAACAAATTAGACAACATTTGTTTCTTAATGGTTTAGTAGCGTGGCCACATTATTTATCTCATTTGGTATTTTTCAAACATCTGCCGTATGTAACCACTTAATAAATGACTTATACTTTGTGTTCTTCAGACACAAAATATGTCTCAACACTGGAGTCATGATATTTCGGGCATTCTTCGAGGCGTTCGGATTGTAGTTAATGCGATGTTGAAACACCAAGAAGCGGAGTGCAAACAATGTTGGGAAAATTCAAGTATAAAAGACGTAGTTGAAAAAGCCAGCAGTTCTGTAGTTGCTAGAACTCAACAGCGTCTATCAGAGGACAAAATTCAGGTGAGTACCTAATACATATTTTAGTGCTGTGACAAGAACCTAAGGTTTTGAAAATGGGACTGTTTGTGGCCAGTGTCAGTCTTGAATGTTTTCCATTTTGGCACATTCTAGTTGACTTTGTATCAGGGTGTTTTGGGAAGCTTATACAGACCAGGTGGTAAGTGACGAGTGGGATATGAAAGAAGTGACTGGTGGAGCAGAGGAGCAGGCTGCTATCCAGTCTGCATTGAGCACGTGCTTGAGGAAAGGAGTGTGTGGACTTATTGCACACCAAATTTTTTATCATAGAGATGAAATTTATGAATAAGCTCGGATTTTCTGTGCTGTAACGCTCATTGTGCCACGGTGGTCTAGCGGTTAGAACGCTGGCCTTGTAATCCTGGGGTCTCGGGTTCGATTCCCGGCGGTGCCTGAATGTATATCTTGTGTTGGGCAAGGCCGTGGTCTAGGCAACACGGAATTTTCCTCCGGGGGCTTCCCCGGTTTCTCCGTGGCATCCCAACAAATACTCCATTCACACACAGAAGTAGGCAATGGCAAACCACTTCTGGATCATCTGCCAAGAACGTATATGAACAGGTCCCAGTCCGAGAAAAGGATGGAAGGATCCTGTTCATATGGACCTGTCGTCAGACAGAACACTAAATAATAATAATAATAATAACGCTCATTGTTCAGAGAATTTACCTCGGTGTAAAAATAACCAGATCTTATCAGAAAATAATTACCATTGTCATGGTTTTAAAAATTTTGCTGCCTTTTATGCAGATGTTCATGAAACAGTTGTCTACTGTGCTAATAGTTTGAGATTTTTATGGTGAAATATTAGTTAGTGCTATCATTTCAAAAGTATGTAGCAAGAGATTTATTGTAAGAAGAGAAACAGTTTTTGCGCATCTGAGTGGTGTTCATAGAAGCCCAGAAATTAATTATACAATTCATAAAATTTCTTTATAGTGTTCATTTTCAGATTTTTTAAGTTCACCCAGTTCTCGTGGACATTTTCCAAGAATCTTAAGATGTGTTTTATCTGCCAAATACATATACTTTACCATTAATTATTCAAGTGCAGATGTATTTTTATGCAGACTCCAGGGAGAAGAGAGAATAATGTTTAGAATATATGTTGATGTATTCTTAGTGATAATAATAGTGGAAGGTACAAAAACTGTGTTGCAGTTCTCGTCAGGTTTCTTTCGTGAGTAAGAAGATTGGTCGCTAAACGTCCATGAATAAATCTTATCTTACACTGAAAACATACATTGTCTGTGATCTGTTGGGATTTTATGTGGACATTATTTATTGCTTAGTATATGCAATTTTCTTTCTTATCTAGGAGGATTCAGAAATGAGAGGTGCAAAGAATGATTGTGGAAACTGTGTATTCCAGTACAAATTATACCTTTCCGATCATAGAAACATCTCATGGCGCTCGATTTACGTGTATTTTTTATGTTTGAAAAACATTCTCTGTACAGTCCGAACCTCCGCGTACAATTTTTGTATCATTACTCAGGAAAACGTACTTACAGGACACCAATTTAAGCGGGATACTGAAATGAGGTATTTTGTTTGTGGTTTATTTAATGAGCAGAGTACAGAAGTCATCCAGAACTTTATATATCAGTTGAATGCATGTCTTTTAGCTGAACGTGCCTTCTTTGCAGTGTATTAATATTCAGGCTTTTGCACATACAGATGTTTCCATGACAGCATGATTAATGCAAATTGTGATGGTTATTTTACAGAATCATTTATCAAAAAACGTGCAGGAAACCTTCCAGAGAACATCAATGTTGTATGAAGGCATAAAGGCTTATGTCACATATGCTGCAGGTGAATTGAATTGAATTGCATGTTAATAATAAGGTCCGTTAACTAATCACAGAATGCAGAAAAGCAAAGCTGAAGTTAAACATGCTAACATGTCGCTTTAACGCAGGGTTGGACTACTGTATTTCTTTGTGGGCCAGAGCACAAAAGACATCTGTTTCAAATGATTGAACTTGAGCAAATTTATAAAATTGTCAATATTTTCTTCTAATAAGCATGTAATTTGTGTATCTTCTCTTTAGCAGTTAAGGATGTTTGCTTGTTTCAGCTTTCTGGTATGTCTGTTATAATGTCATAATTCATGTTTTGGTGTTTCATTCTAAGGGTGTTTGAGAAAAACACAGTGAGAATAGTATTTTGATCTGCAGTAACCTGGTCATGTTTGTTTACCGAAATGAGATTCGCCATAGGTTGTGTTAAATCATTTTAATTTGTGAATCTAGTTTCTTGAGTAAACCAAATTTAAAGGTAATATTTTAAATACTTCTTTCTTCACTCATTCATATAGTTTCTTGATGTCTCATCACACTCTTACAGTTGTTTTTTTAAAGTATTTGACAGCTGCAGAATATGTGATCACTAATTTATTTATTGATGAAAGAGACTCGGGTTACAAGTCACGTCAGGTGGCTGAATGGTGAATAAACCGTATCTTCTGCCAACGTTTCGAGAGCAGTCTCTGCTCTCATCCTCAGGGCTGTTGAGCAACGAATCCGCACAAGCTTCAATTTATAATTTATTCATTACACTGAAATTCACACTGGTGACCCCTAGTAACATAATTTAAGTAAGTAAGAACATTTTTAGATATAGTGTGTAGAAGACACCGAACAACCGAACATGAACACGTGAATATGGTGTTTTTCTGGTGGTTTTTGGTGTGGAACTCGCTCAGCTGAGATTCATTTGATAGTAGTATTGTTGAACACTTGGCTTCTGCTACTAAGTACTTCGTTATTCCGTATTAGTGGTTGCAATATCCTGTGTACTTAAAAGAGCATTTTATTTACAGATCACAAGCTCCCCCACGATTTACCAACAGCTGGACAGTCTGACATTGATAATTATAAACTGCATGCTGATATTCTACCTGAAGCCTCTGAAACCACAAAATCTGAACATAATGATAAGTATGTACTTAAAGAAACAGAATCTGCAAACAGCAAGAATAAAGATGTTTCTCGTGATCTGTTTGCTGGGAGAATACAAAAACAGCAAGATCTATTTATGGAAAAGGCTTATTCAAATGTTGTAAGCGAGCAAGGCATTGTCAGTCCACTGCAACCAAGTATTAAATTTGAGGCTACTCATGTACCAGTTGCAGCAGTTTCAAAGCAAGATAATTTGGGAACTTCAGTTCTATCTGTCAGAGATTTAGAATCAAAGACCAGAATGAAGCAAGTGGTACGTATCAGGTTTTAGTAATATCACGGGTTTTGGATCTGTTGATTTTTTTTATTCAAATGTTGTTAAGTTACAGTCAGTAATTTATTTGGTCTTTCAATCCATGCACTGCTTTAAGGAACCAGTTGGCAGAATCTTAAAAAGTTCATAAAAGTGACATTCGCACAGAAAAGTTATGTTTTCAGTGACGTGTGATCACAGATGCATGCAGCAAGTGCTGTGTGGATGTTACTTCGGACCTATGGGACAGTTTGAGCAGGCATGTGTGGTGACGGTGTACCACATGCAGGATTGTAGGTAGAAGGTGTTCGAAACATGACATACTATTTGTTTGTTCTTTGTATGTTCACAAAAATAATCAAGCTGCATCATAGATGTCTTCTGGTGCAAATGAGTGGCGATGCAGTGATTGTGATCCATATAAAGTGAATTACTTGGTTTTAACATTCATGTACGAATGTTCATTTAATTAATTTTCTCATTAACACGTACGAAATGGAATATGTTTTTCTTGTATGCAGAATTTTTGTCACGATGAAAATGCCAAATGTCACATAGATTGCGCAGTGTCATGCGACCCTGCCGTCCTTTGCACAGGCAGATCGTCTTGGCCTATATTGTCAGTTCCAAGTGAATCATTGCCTGTCTCTTGCTATGTTTTTTTTAATTCCCTCTTTCTTTATATTTTGTTTCATAATTAGTGCTGTTAATTATATTTTAATAAATAATATTTTATTCCTTTATTATTTTATTTGTATATACAGAGTGAATGTTCATTAACTTAGAATTTCGTATGTTATGCAGTCCTGCACAACATTTATACATTCCTAGCTGTAAACATGTCTTTATTTCATAATGTAGTACATGTTCCTTCTTCATTTTCTTTCTTTTGTGTTTTATTCATTCTGTGCCTTACTCTGTACCTTCGTTTCTGAGTGAAACTGCTCTGTTACATTGTTTTTACAAAAGCTATATGCAATCAAACCAGCAACAGGCTGATAGTCATTTAATGCACAGCGTATGTTGTGGTAGTATTATATTTCCATACCAAGTGCCTGAAACAATACTGGCACAAGTGACTTTGATGGGTTGTGTGGTACTCCATAAGATAAAGGATTCAAAGCACAGAACATTCACTCTGCATAACAGGGCTGTGGAGGCGGAGTCGGTAAAAATGTACCGACTCCGACCTCGATATAAAATATTAAGAAAATACTATTCTAACACTTTCGCTACCATGTGAGCTACCGGTGGCCTCACGCTTAGGGAGATTCAATGACATGTTGAGCCACATGGTGTGGGAATAATTCTTTGTAACTTTGACTCCAGTACCTTAAGAATGTAAACTGTCTACAAATCAACCGATGCTTGCAATAACCATTAGACTTATATTTAAATATAGGTTATAAGTCTAAAAAGTAGGCTGATGACTTACGTGGTGGTGGTAAAATCTTTTATGGTACCATTTACAATTTTAGTAGGTTTACCATTTTAATACATATTTAGCTTTTATGAAGAAGCCAGAGTTGGAGGTTTTAGTACTGACTCCACAGCCCTGCTGCATATGTGTAATATTAATTTTCACTTTACAAACTTTTGCATCGCAGCGGACTTTCCCGTACCAAGACATAAGTGTGCTTAATATCTTTGCAGCTGAGTGCAACAGCCAAGCAAAGGAAGGTCCCTTCATCTCAGTTTTTTCGCAAGGTGTCATTTGGTAGTTTGGCAGCAGGGTTGGTGGTTGGTACTGTGACCGAGATGGCCAGAAGGTCTTTAGGACTGGCAAATGAAGAGGAAAGTGCAGGAAGAGCACTTGATAGTGTTTTCTTGTCTGAAGCAAATGCTGAAAGGATTGTCAACACTTTGTGCAAACTGAGAGGTATGAGACATGATGTCTACCAAATTCTTATCTTAAACCAAGAAGTCATGACCATTTTAAGCAAATTATATTATGTCTGGTCAGGGTGCATGTTATTGTGACATATATATATTACAGTCCTTTGTAGTACCAGGATAGTGACTTGAAATAGGCCGGGGTCAGGTTGTGTCCTGAAAAGGACAGTGTATTGGCTTTGTGGCCCAGGCAGGACTGGCAATATTGTATGGGATGTTTCCTCTGTCCTTTGAGAGAGTGGATGAGGGGCGTCCATGACTGGCTGAGGCGAAGGCCATCCTCCCTGTTCAAGTTTTTTGGATATAGCTCAATCTCGATGTCCTCCCTGATTATCCAGTCCATGTATGTACATTTGGTGGACAGGATTGTGTTCTGAGTCTCAAGATGTTTTCATCGAAGTGCCAGCTCAGGAGTCACAGGGCTTCTACAATGGTCACCATGGTGAAAATCGAGATGACATCGAAGCTGACAAGGGTGTCCTCAGGACCGACATGGAGGGACTTGATGGTGTTGATGAATTCCATGGAGTTCTTCATGTGGCGTGGAACTGAGCTGCCTAACCAGATCCTTGGCCAGGTGGTAGGGCGAGGCGCCCATGATGCTCACGATGGGTGTGAGGGGACCCTTTCCTTGTGGATCTTCGGAAGCCCTGAACTCTGTGGCCGCAGCTGTTGGATGATCTTCACAAGAACTTGAGGAGAATGATCTTCCCTTTCACGGCCTCATTTGGGTCTTTAGGCAACCTCCTATAAGTAGGGCCTCTAAAAGGGCCACAATCATCTGGTTGTAGTCACTGGTGTTAAGAATGACCGTCGAATTGCCCTTGTCGGCGAGAAGAACAGAGAGGTAAGCGTTTATCCACTGGCTCGGAGAGTTCTTCTCTGAGCCCCAAACAAATTGTTCTTGGGCTTCCTGAAGGTTTTCAGGATGTGGATGGTCTCTTGCCAGACCTCGTCGGCTGCTTTCTCCGACAGAGAAACAACAGCCTTCACCACACCACTGAACAAGTCCTCGATGGGCAGCACCATAGAGGTCACAGCATCATTCAGGCCCTTACCCAGGGCTTAGTGTCCTCCAGTGACACATCACTTGGGTTGACCACCATTGTTCAGTTGTTAGCCAGCAGGGCAGGATGTCTAGCTCCGTACAACTTTTGGAATTTGTTACACTGTCTGGCTTTGTCGTTGGCCACAGCATGTGATGCCTTCTGGTATGTAACGCGATCTACAAGGGCCCAGTCCTCGGCAGACAACTCACTGGCCAGGCATAGGTGATTGGTAATTGTGATTAAGGTGATAATGTAATGGCATGGTATAACTAATACTTTTGGAAAACATTATAATCCAAACATTTTATCTTTTTTGATCTTGTTATAATGAGGTACAGTAATCGATTTCTTGTGCTGATATGGGATATTTCCTTACTGCAGGTAGAATTACTAAGTACCTATGAATTATAAAATAAGCAGTGACAGCTGACAAGAGGCTATCCTCCAGCTTAGATGTTGGTGGGGGCTAGCAACTCCTCACCATAAAAGATCATCTTGTTAAAAAATGCTTCACAGTTGGTGGATCTCAGCCCTTTTGTTCTATTCTCTTTTTTTGTCCAGACTGAATCTGTGTTTACTCTTTGTGAATCTAGTTTCTTGAGTAAACCAAATTTAAAGGTAATATTTTAAATACTTCTTTCTTCACTCATTCATATAGTTTCTTGATGTCTCATCACACTCTTACAGTTGTTTTTTTAAAGTATTTGACAGCTGCAGAATATGTGATCACTAATTTATTTATTGATGAAAGAGACTCGGGTTACAAGTCACGTCAGGTGGCTGAATGGTGAATAAACCGTATCTTCTGCCAACGTTTCGAGAGCAGTCTCTGCTCTCATCCTCAGGGCTGTTGAGCAACGAATCCGCACAAGCTTCAATTTATAATTTATTCATTACACTGAAATTCACACTGGTGACCCCTAGTAACATAATTTAAGTAAGTAAGAACATTTTTAGATATAGTGTGTAGAAGACACCGAACAACCGAACATGAACACGTGAATATGGTGTTTTTCTGGTGGTTTTTGGTGTGGAACTCGCTCAGCTGAGATTCATTTGATAGTAGTATTGTTGAACACTTGGCTTCTGCTACTAAGTACTTCGTTATTCCGTATTAGTGGTTGCAATATCCTGTGTACTTAAAAGAGCATTTTATTTACAGATCACAAGCTCCCCCACGATTTACCAACAGCTGGACAGTCTGACATTGATAATTATAAACTGCATGCTGATATTCTACCTGAAGCCTCTGAAACCACAAAATCTGAACATAATGATAAGTATGTACTTAAAGAAACAGAATCTGCAAACAGCAAGAATAAAGATGTTTCTCGTGATCTGTTTGCTGGGAGAATACAAAAACAGCAAGATCTATTTATGGAAAAGGCTTATTCAAATGTTGTAAGCGAGCAAGGCATTGTCAGTCCACTGCAACCAAGTATTAAATTTGAGGCTACTCATGTACCAGTTGCAGCAGTTTCAAAGCAAGATAATTTGGGAACTTCAGTTCTATCTGTCAGAGATTTAGAATCAAAGACCAGAATGAAGCAAGTGGTACGTATCAGGTTTTAGTAATATCACGGGTTTTGGATCTGTTGATTTTTTTTATTCAAATGTTGTTAAGTTACAGTCAGTAATTTATTTGGTCTTTCAATCCATGCACTGCTTTAAGGAACCAGTTGGCAGAATCTTAAAAAGTTCATAAAAGTGACATTCGCACAGAAAAGTTATGTTTTCAGTGACGTGTGATCACAGATGCATGCAGCAAGTGCTGTGTGGATGTTACTTCGGACCTATGGGACAGTTTGAGCAGGCATGTGTGGTGACGGTGTACCACATGCAGGATTGTAGGTAGAAGGTGTTCGAAACATGACATACTATTTGTTTGTTCTTTGTATGTTCACAAAAATAATCAAGCTGCATCATAGATGTCTTCTGGTGCAAATGAGTGGCGATGCAGTGATTGTGATCCATATAAAGTGAATTACTTGGTTTTAACATTCATGTACGAATGTTCATTTAATTAATTTTCTCATTAACACGTACGAAATGGAATATGTTTTTCTTGTATGCAGAATTTTTGTCACGATGAAAATGCCAAATGTCACATAGATTGCGCAGTGTCATGCGACCCTGCCGTCCTTTGCACAGGCAGATCGTCTTGGCCTATATTGTCAGTTCCAAGTGAATCATTGCCTGTCTCTTGCTATGTTTTTTTTAATTCCCTCTTTCTTTATATTTTGTTTCATAATTAGTGCTGTTAATTATATTTTAATAAATAATATTTTATTCCTTTATTATTTTATTTGTATATACAGAGTGAATGTTCATTAACTTAGAATTTCGTATGTTATGCAGTCCTGCACAACATTTATACATTCCTAGCTGTAAACATGTCTTTATTTCATAATGTAGTACATGTTCCTTCTTCATTTTCTTTCTTTTGTGTTTTATTCATTCTGTGCCTTACTCTGTACCTTCGTTTCTGAGTGAAACTGCTCTGTTACATTGTTTTTACAAAAGCTATATGCAATCAAACCAGCAACAGGCTGATAGTCATTTAATGCACAGCGTATGTTGTGGTAGTATTATATTTCCATACCAAGTGCCTGAAACAATACTGGCACAAGTGACTTTGATGGGTTGTGTGGTACTCCATAAGATAAAGGATTCAAAGCACAGAACATTCACTCTGCATAACAGGGCTGTGGAGGCGGAGTCGGTAAAAATGTACCGACTCCGACCTCGATATAAAATATTAAGAAAATACTATTCTAACACTTTCGCTACCATGTGAGCTACCGGTGGCCTCACGCTTAGGGAGATTCAATGACATGTTGAGCCACATGGTGTGGGAATAATTCTTTGTAACTTTGACTCCAGTACCTTAAGAATGTAAACTGTCTACAAATCAACCGATGCTTGCAATAACCATTAGACTTATATTTAAATATAGGTTATAAGTCTAAAAAGTAGGCTGATGACTTACGTGGTGGTGGTAAAATCTTTTATGGTACCATTTACAATTTTAGTAGGTTTACCATTTTAATACATATTTAGCTTTTATGAAGAAGCCAGAGTTGGAGGTTTTAGTACTGACTCCACAGCCCTGCTGCATATGTGTAATATTAATTTTCACTTTACAAACTTTTGCATCGCAGCGGACTTTCCCGTACCAAGACATAAGTGTGCTTAATATCTTTGCAGCTGAGTGCAACAGCCAAGCAAAGGAAGGTCCCTTCATCTCAGTTTTTTCGCAAGGTGTCATTTGGTAGTTTGGCAGCAGGGTTGGTGGTTGGTACTGTGACCGAGATGGCCAGAAGGTCTTTAGGACTGGCAAATGAAGAGGAAAGTGCAGGAAGAGCACTTGATAGTGTTTTCTTGTCTGAAGCAAATGCTGAAAGGATTGTCAACACTTTGTGCAAACTGAGAGGTATGAGACATGATGTCTACCAAATTCTTATCTTAAACCAAGAAGTCATGACCATTTTAAGCAAATTATATTATGTCTGGTCAGGGTGCATGTTATTGTGACATATATATATTACAGTCCTTTGTAGTACCAGGATAGTGACTTGAAATAGGCCGGGGTCAGGTTGTGTCCTGAAAAGGACAGTGTATTGGCTTTGTGGCCCAGGCAGGACTGGCAATATTGTATGGGATGTTTCCTCTGTCCTTTGAGAGAGTGGATGAGGGGCGTCCATGACTGGCTGAGGCGAAGGCCATCCTCCCTGTTCAAGTTTTTTGGATATAGCTCAATCTCGATGTCCTCCCTGATTATCCAGTCCATGTATGTACATTTGGTGGACAGGATTGTGTTCTGAGTCTCAAGATGTTTTCATCGAAGTGCCAGCTCAGGAGTCACAGGGCTTCTACAATGGTCACCATGGTGAAAATCGAGATGACATCGAAGCTGACAAGGGTGTCCTCAGGACCGACATGGAGGGACTTGATGGTGTTGATGAATTCCATGGAGTTCTTCATGTGGCGTGGAACTGAGCTGCCTAACCAGATCCTTGGCCAGGTGGTAGGGCGAGGCGCCCATGATGCTCACGATGGGTGTGAGGGGACCCTTTCCTTGTGGATCTTCGGAAGCCCTGAACTCTGTGGCCGCAGCTGTTGGATGATCTTCACAAGAACTTGAGGAGAATGATCTTCCCTTTCACGGCCTCATTTGGGTCTTTAGGCAACCTCCTATAAGTAGGGCCTCTAAAAGGGCCACAATCATCTGGTTGTAGTCACTGGTGTTAAGAATGACCGTCGAATTGCCCTTGTCGGCGAGAAGAACAGAGAGGTAAGCGTTTATCCACTGGCTCGGAGAGTTCTTCTCTGAGCCCCAAACAAATTGTTCTTGGGCTTCCTGAAGGTTTTCAGGATGTGGATGGTCTCTTGCCAGACCTCGTCGGCTGCTTTCTCCGACAGAGAAACAACAGCCTTCACCACACCACTGAACAAGTCCTCGATGGGCAGCACCATAGAGGTCACAGCATCATTCAGGCCCTTACCCAGGGCTTAGTGTCCTCCAGTGACACATCACTTGGGTTGACCACCATTGTTCAGTTGTTAGCCAGCAGGGCAGGATGTCTAGCTCCGTACAACTTTTGGAATTTGTTACACTGTCTGGCTTTGTCGTTGGCCACAGCATGTGATGCCTTCTGGTATGTAACGCGATCTACAAGGGCCCAGTCCTCGGCAGACAACTCACTGGCCAGGCATAGGTGATTGGTAATTGTGATTAAGGTGATAATGTAATGGCATGGTATAACTAATACTTTTGGAAAACATTATAATCCAAACATTTTATCTTTTTTGATCTTGTTATAATGAGGTACAGTAATCGATTTCTTGTGCTGATATGGGATATTTCCTTACTGCAGGTAGAATTACTAAGTACCTATGAATTATAAAATAAGCAGTGACAGCTGACAAGAGGCTATCCTCCAGCTTAGATGTTGGTGGGGGCTAGCAACTCCTCACCATAAAAGATCATCTTGTTAAAAAATGCTTCACAGTTGGTGGATCTCAGCCCTTTTGTTCTATTCTCTTTTTTTGTCCAGACTGAATCTGTGTTTA